CCTCTAGGATATAATCTGTGCTCTGCATTAGCAACCAATATATGAGGTTATTTCATTCATAATCAGACTACAGGTCCAAGTACAAGAGGTCAAAGTGTGCATGTCAACTACCACTGTAAAACCTACTAACTCACTCTCAACTTTTTTTTCTTGCTTTCCTTATGACGTTGGATTCTGCTGAATTAGTATTCTCACTACCTAACATATGGATGATTTTACTAGGGACATGGCAATTGCTAAAAAGAGTTCTGTGTTGTGATCGCCTGCTGACCAATTTTATTTTGCTGAACCAAAAGGTAAAAGGAATGTTTCGTATTCTTTTGGGTAACTTATTCTTATTAGCAAAAGATATTAATAGAAAAGAGACATGGAGTAGTTAGCACTAACCTAGAAAACCAGAATGTCTCCTAACACTGCTGTGTCTGAATGTAAATATTAATGAACGTCTCCAGCAATTCAACACAGGCAAGACCCCTAAGGCTCAGATCCTTCATCAGTGAAGTTTGTGTCATCTCAGCAGGTGAACAACTTCAAGATACTGAGGTTATTATTCAGACCAAAGAGAATATGAAATGGATTAATATCAACTATTGCCTTTGACCAGCTGAATTATGAGGACTTCATGAGCCACTATTATTTTCTTCCTTTTCACCCATTCCCTTTCCCTTACTGTTTTGTACACAATGCATTTATACCAGTTAACTTGATAATTTAATTTTTATCAAATACAAATTATGCTATTTTTTCTGAACTAGAACAGTTCTTAAAATTATTTTGCAGTATATACAGGGACTAATGAGAAACTATTAACTCTGTAATACATGATACCTGGATAAACAACTTTCAGGCAATTAAAATTACAAAGTGACCCAACTTTAGATCCAGTCAATCATTATTTAATCTTTACTCGGCGAATTAGAAGGCATTTGTTGGGCTTTGCCACAAATCATAGTCATTATTACCAATTTATTTATTATTATCAATTACTACTGAAAAATATAAATAATCAGGAAGTTTTAGGTGAATGAAATTCCAAGAACAATGAAATTAACTTTATGACTAGGACCCACAATTTTCTTATGAATTGTATTACGAAGTCCAATGTATTTTCATATCTATTTCTTTTTGCTTACCAAAATTGTGCTGTAATGATAAATTGAAAATGTTTCTTTTTCGGGCCGGCCTGTGGCTCACTCGGGAGAGTGCGATGCTGATAACACCAAGGCCATGGGTTCGGATCCCATATAGGGATGGCCGGTTTGCTCACTGGGTGAGCGTGGTGCTGACAACACCAAGTCAAGGGTTAAGATCCCCTTACTGGTCATCTTTAAAAAAAAAAAAGAAAAAAAGAAAAAAAGAAAATGTTTCTTTTTCAGTGATGAAATTAAAATCGAAAGATCCTTGTGGTCCCTCCCAAAGGACTGACACAAGGAAAGAAAAAAATCCCCAAACCAAGAACTCTCATATGTATTTTAGCCTCCTAGTCGCTTGCGCATATGCGCGTTCTCTCTCTTTTTGTTATTCTAGAGCCACTGATGTGTTAATGAGACGTGGTTCTGGAATATAGATGTCTTAATAATTGACTTGTTTTCCCTTCTCCTAGGAGGACTATCTCCCAGAAGGGGAGTGGAAATCTCAATACTGCACTTATTTAAAAAAGTTATACTGTTACACTACTGAAACCAAAGCCCTTATGGACAACTGCTGCTGCTGCTTTGGCAGATTTATTAGAGATTCCTGACAGCTCAGGGCTTCTACTTACATTACATATCCATGACAACCTACTCTTCTTCCTTAAAGCATGCAAACATCTAAGAGTGCAAAAGAGAGAACATCATGCACATTGATAGCTCAGATTCTCTTTGCATGACTATAGGATATAATCCCTGGAATTATTTCAGTTTTGGCTGGACATCTTTTGGAAAATTTACCTTGGCTCTCTTCTAAAAAGGACTGAAGACTTTCAAGAAATCAACTACTAGAGGAAAAAATAGTTTTTAAAATAGAGCAGTGAGGAAATAGGTCATATTTCTCTACGGGAAGAATCTAAAACTGGGATAATGAATGTGCATTTGGGGAGAGGTCTTCATTTTATCTCACAGTAATGATTTTTCAGTACTTGTAGTTGTTACATAGTCATTAATTAACTTCATGTTTATCCTTTCTAGAATTCAAACAATACGAAGAGAAAAACACTGGAATTCTGCTACTTCATTTTTAACAAAATCTGGCAAACTACCAAACAATACAAGGTAAAAGTAACTTTCAAAACATGTAAGCTTTTGACAATTAATGTCACAAACTGATTACTTGTTTGTTGGCTACTTTGGAAAGAACTCCTTTTCCTGGGGACAAATGTCTTCATTTATAAATTTATTTAAGTTTGTGATGTCAGAATGTTTATGAGAAAAGTTTATTGAACATTTTTCTCTAATTCTTCATGCTCATTGTCATTCCACTTTTATCTATCTAATAGGTACGTATTGATTAATGTCATTTGCCAGAAGCAGAACATTATGCTAGCAATATATGGAAAACAAGTAGAGTTAGATCTTTAGGAAGTTATAGTCAGTCAAGTGACAAATAATTAATATTTAATAATAGTATTAAAATATGGTGTTGGAATGAGTTGGAGAGGAATAAATCTTGAAAATTAAAATAATCTGTGTCCTTGACTATAGGTGAGATAAAAGGAAAATAAATAAAATATATTATTTTTCAAAAAGTGATATTTATGATAACTTCTGGCTCTCTTTCACTACTTAAATATCTCACACCTCCCGAGGCCCTAAGTATAATCTAATTTAAAATCTTGCTCTATTTTAATATAATTATTTGCATACTTAAATTTTGATGGAGCTGGTATATATTTTATATTCAACATTTAATACAGTCGAGTAATAATAACAGACCATGACGCTTTTCTCTTAGTCATCCTTTTTCTCTGTCAAAATATTACATTTGCCTCCAATTTCTTTATTCTGTATATATTTATAAAAATTTCTCTGATTACTTCCCTCAGTTTAGAATGGATTATCCAAAAAAGGCCATACATCTATATTACTAACTTTCAATCTAATTAACACTGATTATTTTGATGTACATTGAGGAACTAAGCACTGAAAATTGAAAAAAGGCCATACATCTATATTACTTTCAATCTAATTAACACTGATTATTTTGATGTACATTGAGGAACTAAGCACTGAAAATTATAATAAAAATAATAGTGGTTAACATTTATCAAATACTTAGTTTACCATAGATGGTGCTAAGTGACTTACATACATATGTCATTTGTATTCCCAAGAAAACTTTGAGGATTGTATTATTCTTATTCCTCCTTCCCATATGAGGATAGAGTGGCACAAACAGCATAAGTAACTTGTCCCATTTAGTAACAAGGTCCCATTTAGAAAGTGAGAGAGGCAGAACTGGATCCTGGGCCTATCTCAACCTAAAATCCATGCTAACCACTGCAGTATTACATAACCTTAATGTTTTTGTCTGATTCTGCATGATCAATTATCATTCAGCTTTTACCTATATCATAAATATGCATTAATTATTTGCCATTTGCCAAACACAGAATGTTATGCAAGCAATATATGAAGAACAAACTGAGTTTAATCTTAAGGAAGTTAACTAGGAAGTAAGAAATAATTAATAGTTAATATTAAGATATGGTTATAATGGCTACTTTCTTTGGAAGAGACTTTTTGATCACGGTTGGATGTTTAGGGAATTTTTTTTAAAGATAAGAAATTTTAACTAAACTCTAAAGTAAAAGCGGAACTAATTCAGGTAATACAATGGATTATCAAAAGGTGATACAATGCAGTGATTTATCATTAATAATAAAGATAAGAAATTTTAACTAAACTCTAAAGTAAAAGCGGAAGTAATTCAGGTAATACAATGGATTATCAAAAGGTGATACAATGCAGTGATTTATCATTAATAATGACCAAGAGCATGGATTTGGGAGTCAGGTTTCTTGGATTCAAATCCTAATTCTGACCCTTGTTGGTGAATTTCAACCAACTTTGTTTCTCTGTACCTCAGTTTTCTCATCCGTAAACTTAGGAATATAATAGTACCCACCTTATATAATTATTGTATGGATTAAATGAGCTAGTATGAAAGCCTTTAAAAAAGGATTTGACCTAAAAAGTGCCACATAAATGATTGCTATTATTGTTGCCTGGACAGAATTATGCATATAGATCCCTGAAGACAGAGTGGACCATATTGTTAATATAAGTAGTTCAAAATCTAGTTGAGTTGTCTAACAAATGAGCTAATGATGGTTATAAAAGTTGTATTCAGAGTAAATGAGAATGAAATCAACAATTGCCCCATATGTATCTCTTGCAGTATGGATTTCTAAGATAACTCTTCCATCTAGACTGCCTGTAGGACTTTTAAAGAACTATGAGCTTTAGGCTCAGGAAATGTAGGAAATTTTTCTTTATAAAAGGGCTTTGTTGGACGATCTGGGAGAGACATCCTAAAATGTGAGTGCTAGGAATTTTTGTGTTTGGTCGTGCACACCTTTTATCTTAGCAGGTGTATAACTTCCATCAGAATTCATTTTTCATGACATGGAAAAGGTAACTGCACCTGTTAAGTAGTTTTAAAATTCAGTCACTCTTTAAATCTGTTGGTACTCTAAATTAAGCCCCCAAGTTTGCCTATACTTGACTAGTAAAACTCCAAAGATCTCCAAACTCAGACTACCTAAATGGTTCTCAAATGATATTTATTAAACTATTCGTGCTGTCTTTGAGTCACTTCTTCATAATGTTAAAGTTATTCTGTAAATCATAAGTGGGAAATATATAGAGAAGTGATATTTACAGATGTGAGAGGCATTTGGGTAGAAAGGCATGTCACTGAATGCAGAAACAAAGACCTTAACTCCACCACTTACAAGAATTTTAAGAAATAAAACTAACGTTTGGATTCAACATGGGTTAGTTAGCTTTAATTTGTCACAATATTTCTATGAGGATAAATTAGTAATAATTACAGGATAGCTTTGTAAATTCTAATATTGTAAGAGATTATTTGTAATGCTAGGATCAAAGCCAAGAGTTCATTTGTTTATTTTGCCTTGTGCTCTCAGCAGGTCTCTGCCATGGGTGACAGGGGAACAAGCAATCATTCAGCAACGACTGACTTCATTCTTGTAGGCTTCAGGGTCCACCCAGAGATCCACATTCTCCTCTTTCTGCTATTTCTGCTTGTATATGCCATGATCCTTCTAGGGAATGTTGGGATGATGTCCATTATTATAACTGATCCTCGGCTGAACACACCAATGTATTTCTTCCTAGGCAATCTTTCCTTCATTGATCTCTTCTATTCGTCTGTTATTGCACCCAAAGCTATGATCAACTTCTGGTCTGAGAGCAAGTCCATCTCCCTTGCAGGCTGTGTGGCCCAGCTCTTTCTCTTCGCCCTCTTCATTGTGACTGAGGGATTTCTCCTGGCAGCCATGGCTTATGACCGCTTCATTGCCATCTGCAACCCACTCCTCTACTCTGTTCAGATGTCAACACGTCTCTGCACTCAGTTGGTGGCTGGTTCCTATTTTTGTGGCTGCATCAGCTCAGTTCTTCAGACCAGCATGACATTTACTTTATCCTTTTGTGCTTCTCGGGTTGTTGACCACTTTTACTGTGATTCTCGCCCACTTCAGAGACTATCTTGTTCTGACCTCCTTATCCACAAAACGGTATCTTTTTTCTTATCCAGCATCATTATCTTGCCTACCGTCATAGTCATTATTGTTTCTTATATGTATATTGTGTCCACAGTTCTAAAGATACGCTCCACTGAGGGACGTAAGAAAGCCTTTTCCACTTGCAGCTCTCACCTGGGAGTCGTGAGTGTGCTGTATGGTGCTGTCTTTTTTATGTATCTCACTCCTGACAGGTTTCCTGAGCTGAGCAAAGTGGCCTCCTTATGCTACTCCCTGGTCACTCCTATGCTGAATCCTTTGATTTACTCTCTGAGGAATAAAGATGTCAAAGAGGCTCTTAACAGACTTCTAGAGAAGAAAAATACTATTCTTTGATTATTATTTCTCTTTCACCAATTGTATTATTGCTGTTTATTTCATACACATTGTGGCCATTAGTGAAAGTTATTCTGAATATTATTAAAGATACTGTTAGTAGCTTTTTCCATGTGTTGAACCTTTCCCATTTATTATGTTTTCCCTCTGAGACATCATAAAATTTTTAAGTCTTGCATATTGGAGATATCCTAGACATTAGGGAAGCATTTTTAACAACTAACTGTCCCACTGATCTCCAATAATTTATACCTATTGATTCTTGTGGCATTCTGCTGAAGAATATTTTTATGGTTTATTGTGGTGCTTAAGCAAAATTTATTTAGTGTTTGCCTTTGGGATAGACTATTCCTCCTACATACAATCATGGATAATTGAGAAAGATGCCCAAATTATTTTTTAAATAAAAATATTTTTCCAATTTCATAATTACTTTTATTAGAATGTTAAATGGTTATCAATCTTCACCTTAATGAAATATTTTATTTGTTTCACATAGAGAGGAGATGATAATATTAAGAAACAAGCAAAAAGTAACCTTCACAATATATATGAAATTATAAAATTTTGTATCAAGCACGCCAGGCATTGTGGAGTACTCTGAGGCACTAGCACTTGCCGCATCCTAATACAAAGATCCAAACTGGGAGATAAAGATGTGCAAACATTTTCTGAGCAATTATTCCCTCAACTTGGATCTTCTTGGTTTTGTGTTTTGTTTATCATTGCTAAGGAATATTTAATAAAGGTATGGAATCAACAGTATCATCAAAATAGAGTGTGACCTCAAATTTACTCATTTATGCCTTTGAATATATTATTGATGTGCTTAGTTTTATTGAATACCTGCATAATATGTTCTGTTTTCACAGTAGGCTCAGAGATAAATTACCTCATTTTTTAGGACATTTTCAATGTAGTGGGAAAGTCAAATCCTTGCACAGGCTACTCAAATACAGAGAGTTGTGAGAGATATTCATAGAGATTACAAGGTAGGGTGTATGAAAGCAGGCGGTTGTTGATAAGGGAAACTGTTCTTTGGCTATATGAAAGATGTTTTTAAAGGGGTGTAGACTGAAGTCAGGAAAACTGCTGCAGTAGTTTGTGATATGGACGTAAACTTAAAGTATGCCAATGTTAATGAAAAAGACAGATTTAAAAACTGCATTAAAATACACAGAACATATTAACTGATTAGTATAAGGAGAGTGTACAACGGGAGGTGTGTCTCTTTACTTTTTAAATTGAATGAGTTTGTGCGGTGATGGTACAAACAGAAGAAAAGTAAAGGAACTCTCAGAAAACTAAGAATAAAGGGGTAAATTTCTCCACTTGATAAAGAATATGTATAAAAAGCCTACAGCTAACATCTTATTTAATGGTAAGAAATAAGAAGCTTTTTTGGTATGATCAGAAATAAGGCAAGGATTCTCCCATTTACAACAGCTTTTTGATATTTTATTGGAAGAGTTAGCTAGTGAAGTAAGACAGGAAAAAGAAATAAAAATTTTGAGAGCTGAATTATGTCCCCCCAACAAATTCATATGTTGAAGCCCTAACCTCAGTATTTTAGAAAGTGATTGTATTTGGAGATAGGGATTTCAAAGAGAAAATTAAGTTAACATAAGGTCATACTGTGGGGAAATAAAAATTTTGAGAGCTGAATTATGTCCCCCCAACAAATTCATATGTTGAAGCCCTAACCCTCAGTATTTTAGAAAGTAATTGTATTTGGAGATAGGGATTTCAAAGAGAAAATTAAGTTAACATAAGGTCATACTGTGGGCCTTAACCCAATTTAACTAGTATCTTTAGAAGAAGAGAAATTTAGGACAGACAGAAAGACACAAGTGGTGCACAGAGAGACAACCATGTGAAGAGGCAACACATGGGAAGCCACATGCAAGTCAAGGCAAGAGGTTTCAAATGAAACCAACCCTGCTGGCACCTTGATCTTGGACTTCCAACCTCCACAACAGTAAGAAAATAAATTTCTGTTGTTTAAGATACCTAGTATACGTTATCTCACTATTACGGCCCTAGCAAACTCATACAAATAGGTATATAGATTATAAAGGAAGAAATAAAACTGTTCTTGTTTGTAGATAACGTAATTGCCTATATAGAAAATTAAACAGAATCTACCACCACAACAAAATCTCTTCTGAAACTAAGTGGTTACAGCAAGGTTGTTGGATACAACCTTACGGTTAACATACAAAAGTAAATTTCTTTCCTGTATACCAGCAGTGAACATGTGGATTTTGAAATTAAAAGCACAATTCTGAAGGTGACATCATTAAGATGGCAGAATAGAAAGTTCCAGCCCTATTGCCTCACAGAAACTTCAGTTTAACAATGATACATATTAATAAAGAGACACATCAATAACATAAACTACTGCAGCAGTTTTCCTGACTTCAAACCAAAATACCTTTATGAGAATTCCAGAATCCAGTTAAAAAGCTGTTGTACCCCCAGGCAACCACAAAGGCAAGAGCAAGTGCAACAAAATGAGTAAGAATAGCAATTTTACTTTACTCACATTAGCTACTCTCGCAAGCTGGCATAGGTCAACACTGGGATAACACTCTGGCTCATGACTTCTTCCTCAGGAAAAAAAATTAACAGTGGAGTGTGCATCCAATATTCTGGCTTTTCAGAGGACTGCCTCAGAGCCACATTAGCTACTCTCCCAAGCTGGCATAGGTCAACACTGGGATAACACTCTGGCTCATGACTTCTTCCTCAGGAAAAAAAAATTAACAGTGGAGTGTGCATCCAATATTCTGGCTTTTCAGAGGACTGCCTCAGAGACTGATTTCTGTATCATTTCACTCAGAGTTCTGATAAAGCCATAATAGTTTGGATGCCTGGGAGATGCTGAGACCAAGTAAAAGTGTGTGTGGAGGTCCTTGCTACAGCTGGCATGGCTTGGCAAGATCAGGAAAAGATGCATAACTTATGCCTTCTACCTCTGGAGGGAAAGAGAAGAGTAGAATGTGCACTCAGCATTTAGGCTTTTGGGAAGACTGCCTGAGAGACTGACATCAATTTTGCCTGACTTAGGTTGCTAATGGGGGGCAGCATACTTTTGGTGCCTGGTGACTGCTGGGACCAAGGAAGCATAGGAGCATTCCTGCTGTACAACAAGAGAACTAGCAGTACCACAAACATACCAGAAAGAACAACAGGTTATGGACTCCTGAAAAGGAAATTGGAAAGCATCTCTGATAAATTGCATGCACAGGCTCAGAGAAGTCACATCCTTCTGAGAAAGATTTTAAATGCCTTCAGAATTTCTTGTGGGGTTGATTGGTAAGGCTCTTCCTCTGTATAAAGCAAATCTATAAATACTGGTAGGGGTGGCTATTTTCTCAAATGGGTGGGTACCAACACAAAATTATGATAGACATGAAGAAACAGGGAAACATGAAAACAAGGCCTTCAAAGAGGAACAAAATATATCTCTAAGAAGCAATCCTAAAGAAATGAAGATATATAAATTACCTAAAAAGAATTCAAAATAACCATCATAAAGATACTGTATAATTTCAAGAAACTATGTATGAACAAAATGAGAATGTCAAAAGAGAGATTGAAAATATAAAAAAGAACTGAACAGGAATTTTGAGGCTGAAGAATATAATACTGAACTTCAAAAATCACTAGAGGAGATTTAAAAACAGACTTCATCAATCAGGAGAATATCAAGAAACTCAAAGACAGGTCATTTGAAATTAGTTGGTAAAAGAACCAAAAAGATAAAAGAAAAAGAGTAAAAGAGTAAAGAAAGCTTAACAAACTTATGGGACATCAAGTGAAAAAATATATGCATTATTGAGGTTCTAGAAGAGGAAAAAAGAGAGAAAGGTAGAAAACTTATTTGATAAAACAATGTCTGAAAGCTTTACAATTCTGAGGAGAAAAATGGACATCCAGATTCAAGAATCCCAATGGACTCCAAATAGGATGAACACAAAAAAACTAAAATGACACATTATAAGCAAATTTTCAAAAGTCAAAGACAAAGATAATTTTGAAAGCAGCAGGAGAAAACCAACATCACATACAGGGAATCTCTATAAGACTATCAAGATATTTCTCAGCAGAAACCTTGCAGGTTACAAGAAAGTGGAATGATGTAATGTGATGTAACAAATGCCAACCAAGAATACTATATCTGGTAAGACCCTACATCAAAAATGGAGGAGAAATAAAGACTTTTCAAAATGAACAAAAGTTGAGATACATTTGTTAGCTTACCCCTTTCTGTTCATGGACGCTGTTGAGGAAGCATTGCCAAAGTTTTCCCACTGCTGTCATGTCTAAGTCAGAGTCTACTAAAGAGCCCAAACAGCTGCAGAAGCTCGTCATCAGAGGGTTGAGCTTTGAAACAAGTAATGAAAGTCTTAGGAGCTATTTTGATCAGTGGGGAACACTCACAGACTGTGTGGTAATGAGAGATCTAAACATCAAGCACTCCAGGGGCTTTGAGTTTGTGACATATGCCACTGTGGAGGAGGTGGATGCAGCCATGAATGTAAGGCCACACAAAGAGGATAGAGGAGTTGTGGAACCAAAGGGCTGTTGCAAGAGAATTTTCTCAAAGACCAGGTGCCCACTTAACTGTGAAGAAGATCTTTTATGGTTTCTGGTCTTATGGTCAGGTCTTTTATCCATTTTGAGTGTATCTTTGTGTATGGTGTACAATAAGTGTCCAATTTTCTTCTTTTGCCTATGAATATTCAGTTTTCCCAGCATCATTTATTGAAGAGACCATCTGTTCCCCATTGTGTCTTCCTGGTGCTCTTTTCAAAAATTAGTTGATCATATATGTTTGAATTTATTTATGGGCTCTTTTTTCTGTTCCATAGTTTTTAACTTTAATGCTAGTACCATGCTGTTTTGATTGCTATAACTTCATGTTACAATTTTAAGTCAGGAAGTGTTATGCCTCCAATTTTTCTTTCTCAATATTGCTTTGGCTATTGGAGGTTTTGTGGTTTCATATGAATTT